CCGGGAGCCTCTGGCACTCCGAAGGGTCCGGGGCGGGGCCTGTCTGCGGGCAGAGCGTAATAATGGAGAGCCCCGTGTCTGGGCTGCGAGCGAAGCTTCTCGGTGTGAAACGGTGGCGCTGCGGGCTGTTGGATTCCTTTAGACAGGAGCTGCTTTAACGCCAGAGAGAGAAAAACCGGGCCCACAGGGGCGGGGCCGGGCAGCTCCTTGGGGCTCTGCCCTGGGCCGGGCGGGAGGTGGGAAGGGGCCTCTGGAGGGGAGGGGCTGCGGCGGCCCCGCAGTGGGGGAAATCCCGCAACATTGGGCGACTGCCTTGGGGGTTTTCTTTCTGAAGAGCACCAGTTTGCGTAGAAACCGGAAAGGTTTTCTCCTCTCCGAGCAATATATAAAATATTAATAGGTGAGGTTTTTAAAAAAAACCCAGAAGGTTAACAGTTTTTGTTTTGGTTTGTTTTATTTTCCCCCCTGTTACCAGGTTATATTAGTTACTGCAGTGCTTTGCAGCTCAATTTCAGACCAACTCCACAAGGATCCCGCACTCACAGTGCAGGATCCTCATTGTGCCTTGCTTAGTTTGCTCGTGGGACCTTAGAGTCCCAGGAACCTCTGTATTATTAGCATAGTGGATATAGAGAAGGTGTATTATCGATAAGCTTTGAATGACCTTTTCACAAGTAGGGAAGAAGAGAGTATGGTAGCTTAACTCGTTTGTTCCTTGAAATTCCTGTTATGTCTTGATCACATGTGATGTGATTTGAGCATCCTGATATCACGAAGTTCATTGAAGTTGATAAAATGCCCTGCTAATAATTCTAGTGAGAGTTAGGGAGGGTTTAATTTGTTTATTTTTACTACTTTTCTTCTTCCTTCTCTGAAGCTGGAAAATAAAACAAAAGGGAAACTTCAAAAGCAGATTTGTAAAGTTGTTCTGGATCATTTCGAGAAGGAGTACACAACGGAACTGGGAGATACGTGGACCAGTGTCAGGTCTGTCATTTTGGGAAGCTGGGACAGGGGAGGTTCTCTTATATTTTAACTGCTTCGTAAAATAACTTTGAAAAGAATCATGGACTGTAACAACTGCTTCAGTTTATTTTCAGTTTAGACTATCATAAAAGTGTTAAATAACAGAAGACTAAGAAAGTTTTTTTCCTTGACGTCGTTCTTTTGGACATGGTGAAGTTTCTGTTCTGTATGCATATGCGCTGCAAGGAGACTGACATCTTATGTTTTTGTTGACTGTTTTGTAAAAAGCTCGTCCAAAAAGCACTCTCTTATACTTGACAGCTGTTGTTAGAGTGTTTTTTTCTACATCTTTCTAGTATCTTGAGAGACAAAGGTGTTAGGAGAGAAGTACACCCTGTGATTTCTTTCATTAGAAGAACTTGAATATTAACAACATGTACAGAAAAAGCTATCACTTAATTTGGGCCTTGATCGTACAGCTGAAGGACTGGCTGTGGTATTGACAGAAGGCATCTTCCCTGCTAGCTGGTGGTTGTCATTCATAGGAAAGGCAGCAGAAGAGCCCTTCTGGAGAAGTTCACTGCTTAGCTTACATACTTTTCAACAGGAATTTTAACAAAAGCAGTTGACTTTGACCTAGGGTGCACGAGAAGTGCTCACGTGATCAGTGCCACCTTACTTTGAAGAGAAAAGCGTCTTAAGTGATCAATCTTAGAAACCATGTGAGTCCTTTCAGTGACCTCTTTGGTTTAGCCTGTTTGGATTAAAAAGTACTTTAAAATAAGCATCTCCGTTGTTTAAAAAAAAAGGAGAAATGTTGTGTAGCATTAGTTTAAGTGAATCAACTTAAAAACTCTTTTAGGTTAGATCAGTGCATATTTTTCTTTTAGGCAGTGGCTTTTCCTGGAGAGTACTTCTTAACACTAAAAAAAAAATGAGAAAAAATTAAATATTAAGTAGGGGAAATCTGTGGCAGGAAGGTCTGAAAAAAATGAACTGAAATACAAACAAATGTGTTCCTGCACTGCTTTTTTACTGTCTTCTAGGACTGTCTTATTGGTTTAAGTTTTTCTGGCCCAGTGTTTGCAGAAATAAAAGGTAATTTAGAAAAGAACACTTGAAAAAACTACCTGCTATGGTGTTGGCTGGAATAACCATTGCAAAGTCAATGTGATCCTTTTTACTGAGGTTTTTACAACTAATATTACAGTTGTTCTTTATCCATAGGGAAGTACTATATATAGTCAGAAAGACCTGCTTCATAATTTAAAACTTTTACAGTAATTTGTTAAAGAACTAGGAAAAATAAGGAACATCTTGTTTCAGAAGAAGTTAGTGTTAAAAATGTGGCAACTAAGCAGTGGTTTGATTTCCTATTAAAATTATTTTCCTGCATACTTTTTTAAGAAATTGTATCTAATCAAAATGTTTCCTTTTCGATTGTACTGGAATCATCCAGTGGCGAGATCGCTACCCTTACATAAGAAAAAGCTTCCTCTGCTTCCTGGTGAGACCACACCTGGAATACAGTGTCCAGTTTTGGGCTCCCCAATTCAAGAGAGACAGGGACCTGCTCGAGAGAGTCCAATGGAGAGCTACAAGGATGATTAAGGGACTTGAACATCTCTCCTCTGAAGAGAGACTGAGAGAACTGGGGCTGTTTAGCCTTGAAAGGAGACGGCTGAGAGGGGACCTTATTAATGTACACAAATATCTGAGGGGTGGGTGTCAAGGGGAAGGGGACAATCTCTTCTCAGTGGTGCCCAGCAATAGGACAAGGAATAATGGATTTAAGTTAGAACATAGGAAGTTCCACCTCAACATGAGGAGAAACTTCTTTACTGTCTTCTTTACTGCGAGGCTGACGGAGCCCTGGCACAGGATGCCCAGAGAGGTTGTGGAGGCTCCTTCTCTGGAGACTTTCAAAACCCACCTGGATGCGTTCCTGTGTGGCTGCTCTAGGGCATCCTGCTCTGGCAGGGCGGGGGTAACTAGATGATCTCTAGTGGTCCCTTCCAACTCCAAACATTCTGTGATTCTATGGTAAGCTAATTTTACTTGTCAAGTTGCTAAAATAGCTTTTCTTTTTTCCTATCTAGAGATGTACTCACGTACCCGTCATGCTGGCAGTATGCCATCCTGCTTAACAAGTTCAGCCCATCTGCTGAACTGGAGAACACCTTGCATGCGAAGGGGTACTATCCTGCCTTTCAAGGGAGTTTGCCCTATCTCCCAGCATCATTTAAGTGTTATATCAGGAGAATTCCTGGGCGGTTCCCTGCACAAAAGCACCAGGCTGGCAAACTGAAAGAGTATTATCTGCTGAATGCTGCTTCACTGTTGCCGGTTTTGGCGTTAGAAGTGAAAGACGGGGAAGACGTTTTGGATCTCTGTGCTGCACCGGGTGGCAAATCGGTGGCTGTGCTGCAGTGTGCCTGGCCAGGTAACGTACAGAGGTGCTGCCAGAAGCTAGTCTTTGAGTATGGATTATGTTTAAAGTTTGTTTTACTGTGCAAGCTGAAATTTACTCAGTTTATAAAAATTCAGCAGTGCTGCAAAATGTGCAGTAACATAAGCACGTAAGGTGTAAACTCTATGACAGTCATGGCAAAACAGTAGAACTTCTGAAATAAGTGTAACTCCTTACATTTGAAAAGAAAACAAAAAAAAAAACAACCAAAAAAAACCCTGAAGATCAAACAAAACAAAACAATCAAAAACCCATAAAGACTTGTTTTAGGGTGTTTAATTTTTAATTTTTGAAGGTCACTTTCACTGCAACGAATATGATGATTTGAGGTCAAGGTGGTTGAAACAAACAATGGAATCCTTCATCCCGGATCCTTTGATTCACTTAATGACGATCTCTAAATTGGATGGCAGACAGATTGGAGATCTTAAGCCTGAATTATATGACAAGGTAATGTTATTACTTTATTTGCCAAGGAATTTCTGCACTCTGCTTCTTTTTCTTCCTGTGCTACTCTAGTTTTCTTTCTGGCCCAGACAAAAGTATTTGACCGATCATGGGGGAACCAAGGTCGTGGATGGCATTTGCAGAGCCTCAGGAATCCCTTTCTGAAGCCTGTTGTTCATTTGTTCCTGTGTTAGGTGATGTGTTTCATGTAATTCATGTGTTGCCCATTTAGCCTTGGTAGTGAATTCTGGAAACTATGCAGCAGTGTTCATTTCATAATATGTAATTAGGAAGGGAGGAAGAACTGACAGATATTCAGGTAGAGGGTACTTTTGGAGCAGTAAACTCTTCTACTCTTATATCTCCAAAAATTTATCTGAAAATAGTAATTTTATCATTTCTACCCCTACAATGGAAAAAGGGTGTTCTAAGTGTTTGCAAATGTAAGTTGAGTAGATTTTTGGCACACAGTGTTCAGAAAGTGAATGTCTTCATTGCGAATTGTCTTACTTGCTCTGATTCATTGTATAGGTACTGGTTGATGCTCCTTGTTCAAATGACAGAAGTTGGCTCTTCTCTTCTGATATTCAGCAGGCTACGCTTAGGCTAATACAAAGGAAGGAGTTCCCATCTCTGCAATTCCAGCTGCTAAGGTGAGAAGTGCAAAAGAAAGCTATTAAAGGAGCTTTTCGTAATTAGTGAAGTGACACGGGGGCAAGACTTGTCATGTTCGATAACCAAAACTAGATTTCACTGTGTGAAAGAATATTGTTGCAATGGTGTTTAGAATAAACAGTTGATCTGGGGTTAATGTGAATATGGAAGTGTATATGGGGTAATAGAAGCAGTGAGGCCTAGATCCTTGCTGCTCCCTTGCCTAGATACTTGCTTGCATGCCTTCCGTGCTGCTGTGTAGCCCTTATAGCCCTCTTAACTCACTTGTTCACATATGTGTCCATTTTCAGGTAACTCAGAAGAGTCTAATACTATATCGGAATATTTTTGGTGGGCACAGCTAAGATGGTTTCAGATATATTCCTCAGCTGATGCAAAAATGCACCTGCAATTTCTAATAGTGGTTTGTTTGTGTTTTCAACTATCTGTGAAAGTAGTCTATAAACCTGCCAAGCTGAGTGTTCTTCCACATAATCATTTTCTTGTTGTTGTTCATTCACAGAATTATCCCTTTTATGGTTCTTTATTATAGTCTTTTTGATAACTGAGTTGTAAGTCCAGACTGGTTACCAACCATTAGTTAGGTCACATATGTCCCTGCTTCAGAATTTGCTTTCTGGCTCTTTATATGAAGAGATTGAGCCTACTGTTGCACGTTCTTACATGGTGCTTGAATTTAATACCCATTTGACTATTTGTAGCCCAGAAAGTCTACTGATCATAATTGATAGGGTAAAAAATGTGGGGTTTGATGGGAAAGAAAAGATTGTTTATTTTTCAGAAATATCCACCCAGTAATCTTAATCAAGGTTGTCATGTATTGCACTTTTAATGATACCAGCCATAGGCTAGCATTTGTGAAGCGTTTCAAACTCTACAGCTTTTCTCACTGAGGGGAAAAAAAAAAAGTGACTTCCCAGTAATACCTCCTAGACTTGAATGTTTTTTTCCACAGTAACAGTTACACCTGAAGTCCATGTGTCAGAGCAAATTGAGGGAAAAAATATCATATTATAAAAAAGAAAAAGGAAGTTTTTATGGAGAGTCCCCATTGCAGCAATTCAAGGTAGTTTTGCATGACTTCCAGTTGAAAAAGGCCTAGCAGAAGCCTATGATTTATAACAGAAATAGGAGTATCTTATTGCAGTAATGCATCATGTCACCCATTTCTTTTGAAGAAATCAATCACATTTAAAACACTGACCTGTTTCAGTTTTCCCTTTTCAATATTTGACGTATAAAATCCAATTTGTGAACTTCTACCAAAAGAAAGCATATATCATGCAGTGTAGTTTTGAGAATTTGCATAAATCTGGAGTGATTGTAATCCTGAAGTGGAGAACTCATGACAGCAGGAATAGGAATGTTGTTTTTTAAAAACGGAGACTTTCCTGTCAGCTCAAATCAGATTTAATTAAATTATGCCTAAATAAAGAAGAGAATTTTGCTTCTCTTGAAGGTATACTTTACTATAGCAACAGCAATTAAAGTTAGATTTGTAAGGATGAAATACTTTTGATATGTAAATCTCACATAAAAGGATGGTAATTGCTATTTCATTCCTCAGTATATTATAGATCTGAGTAGTTATGTAGACTGACCAACCTACTGTTACATGCACTGGATTGATTTTTTTTTTTGTCTTCTTTTAAAAGATCTTTGAGCATATGAAATAAATGGTTAGGTTCAAGAGTTAGACATTACAAGTGTTATCAGGTAAAATATTTGACATACACTTAGTAAATGGTATAGCTGTATTTTTATTGTTCTTTTTATCTGACCATTTTAAAAGGAATTTCCAATACTTAAGACCTTTCAGATCTGACGTGAAAGGGAAAAAAGAAATGATAAAATGAGACCAGGAAAGGCTAAATGATTCATACAAGTGCACTAGAATTTGGGCAAAACTAAAATTGTGGAATGCTGATCTATTCAAGCCTTTGTTTTATGGTTAGAGTGCATAATTATACATAAAAAAAATGAGTTTGAATCCTATCTCTGGTACTTCCAGTAATACTCAGGAAGGATGAACCTACATTAATCCAGCTGTGTCGAATTTTTATGCAAGTCATCTTACGCAGAGCTACCTCTGCCTTACTTATTCAGATGACCTGGTGTTGATGTTCATGAGCATTTCTCACCGTAGTTCCTGTATCTGTAAAACAAAAACAAGTACAAAGCTGGATTTCAGCAGTTTTGTGAAGCATAGTGTAAAGCAATATTTTGTGATTCAAAGATGAGCCTTGGAAGTATAAGGACTAAGCATCATTTTACTTTAGCAATAGTATTATCTTTAAGGATAGCACACAAATTAGAAGAATGAAATGTCTCTCCAGTGACACAGCCTAAATTTTGAGATTCCTTCTTTCTTAATTAACAAAATGCTTCACTTGTAATCTTGAAATCTGTTTTTCTGTGGTTGGTCATCTTGCAGCGGGGTTTTGTTGGTTTTTTTTCTGGGTTTGTTTTTTAGCAGATCTGCTGGGAGGGAAGCTGGGGACATCAGTAAGGAAGTGATAGAAGAAAAAGTATTTTTTGCAATACAGTGTGATTTGTTAAGTACATAGAGGCTTCAGAGAATGAAGGTCTTGAACTGTTGAAACTGATGCAGTGATCTTCCTGTTCCAGTCTGAGTAAAATCTGAAGTGTAAATAAGTGGCATAAATGCTGAACAGCAAATTTTATAAGCCGTGAGGGTACCACTGATTTGAAGGAGACCAAGATTGTAATGGTTGTTATATCAAAACCAAAGCATCCCTACTAAGTGCTGTAATTCAAGAACATGCTACAAATCTTGTTATGATTTGAAGTGTTCGTGCAGAAAATAAATTGCAGAGTAAGGAAGGAATGTTCACTTTGTGACACTGAATGCTAGCAAAAACTGCAGTGGTTCCATAAAGGAATTTACCAATATTATCTGTTCTTAGATAGAAATTAAGTTTGGAATTAAACTGTCTAAAGTGTCTAAAAATTTAGTGGTGAAACTGTTTCAGATGTTGTAACTATTCCTAGTGTAGTTACTGCAGCCTAAAGAAACTGTAGTTAGGGTTCGTCTGAAAATAAATCTAACAGAATACAATTTAGAAAATGCAGAAAAGACATTCAGACTGCTGTAACTCTTCTATACACAACATTTCTCAGTCATTAAACATTCCTAACTGGTGTGTAATAGAGTTTTGGTCCACAGGAACTCAGACTGACTTTAAAAGGTACATGTCTGACGTGCATTTTTCGTCTCTTCTTCTCCCTTGTAGTTAGCTATAAGGGAGATTATTTTGAATACTTAAGATATACACACACAAAATCAAGAGATTTGGGGGAATTTGAGGTGCCTGAGAAGTTTGAAGTGTGCTTTGGATTACTGGTGGCAAAATAACCTGTACAAAATGCTCATTTTCCTAGTTGATCTCTTTTGAGTTGTATGTATTCTCATTATTCACAGCTTAGAATGAGGCATTAAACTTGGCTTGAGAAATCCAGAAAACCCGTTATTCTTCCTAGATAATGAAATGTTTCAATCCCTCTTTTTGTTATATGACTTTTAAGGAACTGTGGTTCTGCGGGACATAGTTGCAGGAAAAAGTATGTGAACGTTTTGGAATTTTATAGTGTTCTGCATTAATTTGTTGTAAAATGTGATCTAACCATCATCTAAGTCAAGGGTATTGACAAATATAATGTGCCTAAAATAACATAAACCCAATTCTGATCCTCCCTGTCTTTATTGAATACACTCATTCAACATTCAAAATGCTAGTGGAAAAAGTGAACCCTTGAGTTGACCTCAGAAAAGTTAATTGGAGTCAGGCGTTAGCATACCTGGAGTCTTGTTAAGAAAATGGGTTTGGAGGTGTGGACTAGAGCTATGTTGGCTGATAAAAACCACTCAAACTTTTTGAGTTTGCTCCACAGAACATGTATGCTTATGTGAGCCATGCCTCACCAAAAAGAGTTTTCAAAGGATCTACGATCAAGAAATGTTGATTTACATAAAGCTGGAAAGGCTTACAGAGTGATTTCAAAGACCTTAGAAAATCACCACGCAAACAATTTACAAATGGAGACACTTTGGGACTATGGCTGCTCTACCAAGAAGGGGGTGCCCAGTCAAAGTGACCCCAAGAGCACAACAAAGACTCATCAGTGAGGTAAAGAAACAACACTGAGTGACAGCCAAAGAGTTGAAGGTATCATTGGAACTGGCTGACATCCGTGTTCATGAGCGTATAGTACGTAAAAGATTGAACAAGCAGGTTCTCTGTGGCAGGACACCAGGAAGGAAGGTGCTACTTACTACAAAGAGCATTGCTGCAGGCCTGAAGTTTGTGAAAGAGCACATCGACACTCTGCAGTGGTATCGGCAAAATGTTTGGTGGACTGCTGAAACAAAGATTGAACCATTTGGAAAGAACACCCAGCACTACATCTGGTGTAAAAAGGGCACTACATATCATTGTGAAAATATCATCCCAACTGTCAAGTGTGATGGAGGAAACATCATGATTTGGGCCGGTTTGCTGCATCAGGGCCTGGCCAGCTTGAGTCATCGAGGGGAAGATGAATTCCCAAGTGTACCAAAAAACTCTTCAGGATAATGTGAGAACGTCTTTACATCAGCTGAAACTCTGTAGACGTTGAGTGGTGCAACAGAAAAATGACCCAAAACATGGGAGCCAGTCCACAACAGAATGGCTTCAGAAAAACAAAATCTGCTTTTTGGAGTGGCCAAGTCAGAGCCCAGACCTCAACCCAATAGACATGTGTCCTGATTTTAGCTAAAAACACCGATTCTGTTTAGTGATTTTTTAGTTTCTACCTCAGTCTCTTCTAAAACGCTGCACTTTTTGAAGTCAGCAGCATGTTTTTGCAGACAGTGCCTCCTACTGGCAATGATAACACCTGATGTTTACA